TCCCCAGCCCCTCTCTTGGTCTATTGAAAGGATCAGTTAATGTTTAATTTTTTAGTGTATCAGAGTTATTTAATTATGTTCTTAGTAAGAAATGTAGAACACTCTAATTTATGAGGATAAATTCCATTTGTCAGAGCAAAAATGGACCAAAGGTAGCCCTGGAGCTGTGGAATAGCTTTGATTTTTGCTAAAATCTGTGAGTCCACTGCTTTCTGATCCACTTTGCACTGCTCTGAAATCTGGTATCTCTCTTTCTCGATGTCGAAGATCTCGCCCTCCTGGTGTCTGGGTTTCCACAGCTGCTGCTTCTTGAAGTAAGCATCAGTGAAGTGTTTGGTGATTTTCATTTTGCTGATATCAATTTTTGTAGAGGTGGCAATGACAAATTTCTGGAGTGTTCTTCATAAAGGAACACGATTAAGGCTAAGAAGCCCAGTTACAAGTAGCAAGCCCTTGGCCAACTGCTTCAGGAAGACCACTCTCTTGCTTCTGTGACGCCTGGTGAGGATGATCAAGATGGTGCTGGGAGTGATGCTAGCTCAAAGTTTCCTTACATGCTGACTGAAGGGTTTCTTGCTGTGGCTCAAGAGCTTTGAAGCACATCTTCAGTAGGGTAGTCTTTAGGCATTTTTCGAGCTTAACCACATAGGTACCACCATTCTTGTTCCCACTGACTGGTTTTGTGATGGTAGCAAGAACTTTCTCCTTTTTCTTCTCAACCTTTGATTTAGCAGCTGTGTACTTTCTCTTGTACAAAGCCTTTCTGGAATACATAGCAGATCGGGAGTATCTACCAATTCCTCTGACCAGGCCAGGGTTTCAGCTGCAGTGGGGTTGCCCTTTCATGGACTTTTTTGCCTTCACCTTTCCCTTTTTGCCAGTACTACTGGCAGAAGCCTTCTTGGTTTCAGGTTTCTTCTCTTTGGTGTCTGGCTTCTCAGTTCTTTTGCTGGCCATCTTGCAAGATGGCAAAAAGCAATGTTTAATTTTTAAAATGTCTTAAATTTAAATTTTTTTCTTTTTAATTTCATATAACTTTTTTAAACCAGTCTTGCAGATTTATAGCTGGTAACCTAAACAACTAATTTAAAGATGACATTATGCAATACAACAACCATTGTCGAGTTCCTAATATTTTCTTCAGTGAAATTTTGTATTTTTTTTTACCATTTTATATTCTTTAAAAAATAAAATTTAGTATTTAGATTAGTATGCTTAGTATGTATGTACTTGGATGTCTTATTTTTCATTAAAATGGAGTTACTAAAATGTTTCCTATTGCTCCTCTTCTTGTCTAAGTTTTATGAAAATCATTTCGCTCTAGTTCTAAGACATAAAATGATTCTAATATAACTTTTAATAACTATCATAGACATACCTCATAAGACAACCTAATACATCCTAAAACTTCATATTTATTTTCTGTATTAATCAGAAAACAACATCCTAAAGAAAGGAAAACCTTTAACTTCAACAAGTTTTTGTATTTTTTTTTTTACTGTAATCAATACTTCTTTTAAAGAAATATTTGTTAATGCAAGCATACTTGGTTCATATATTTCGGTAGAAAGAATCATGATACAAATTACTGCATTAGGGCAGATTCCATAACCTTTCTGGCTTTACTTTCGAAACCATTTATCTATCTGTTATTTGTCTATTTATTTTGTGTTCATAAGGTTTGAACTCAAGGCCTTTGCACTGAGCTGTATCACAGCCATTTTATCATTCTGAAAAAGGGCTTCACTAAGTTGCTATGTTGCCCAGGTGGGGCAAGGCTTATGATCTTCCTGCCTCAGCTTCAGAGAGTGCTTAGATCATAGAGATAGGCCATCATGCCTGGTAAAGCTACTTTTGAAAATAATATTCTACTTATGATCACTATACTTACAATACTTTTTCTTCTTACAAAATTAATGCATATTTATGTATAATAACACAACATTTATTAAAACAAAAATAATGATTATTTTTGTTTAAAAACTGTTAGAATTATAAGTAGATATAGTTTTTAAAAAATAATGTTTAACTCAATTTCATGGATAAGTATTTTTTGATAGTATGAGAATAGGCTTATTTATGTCCAGCAGATCAATGTCACCATTAAGATGAACTTTTAAACTGCGGTAAGTTTTATTGAGTTGAAATATTGAATGCATTCACTGTATAACAGAACCTGCACTTGTTTATCTGTTCATGGTGAGTCCCTGTTGGATATAAAGTATAAAATTGGGGCCAGGGAGATGGCTCAGTGGAATAAGTGCTTCCCTGGCAAGCACAAGGGCCTGAGTTCAATCCCTGCTTCCTCCAAAGAAAAAAAGCATAAAATCGGGGCTGGAAGATAGCTCAGTGGAATAAATGCTTGCCTGGCAAGCTCAAGGTCCTGAGTTTGATCCCTGGATCACCAAAAACAAAACAAGCAAGCAAACGTAAAGCATAAAATTGTCCATAATGCTAAAAGAGGGAAACACCTTGTAAAAATTTATAAGCAGTAATTGCCAGCTTGAAAAGTTAAATATGGGGGCCGGGGAGATGGCTCAGTGGAATAAGCGCTTCCCTGGCAAGTGCAAGGACCTGAGTCCAATCCCCAGTTCCACCAAAAAAAAGAAAAAGAAAAAGAAAAGTTAAATAGGTTATGTACTAGGTCAAAAATTCATTCATTTTACAGTATCTTTAGTTTTGTGTCTACATCATATATTTTCCAACTTATATATTCGAATGCTGTTGCTACATCATCCCTTCAATGCCTCATTTTGTATGAGCATAATCAAAAGGATCTTTCAGGGGCTGGGGAGATGGCTCAGTAGAATATGTGCCTGCCTGGCAAGCGCAAGGGCCTGAATTCAATCCCCGATTCTGGAAAAAAAGAAAAAAAAAAAGGATCTTACTGTCCAAAATTAGTTTTAGCATAATTTACATTCTATGAAATAAAAATTTAAAGTCAACATATTTAATATTTTATTCTCATCCTCAGTAACAAAATCTTATAACTGTTTTCCCCCCTGTATGTTTTCCAGGTTCACAGTGGAACAGGAAATTGATTTAAAAGACATTTTGAACTCTCTTGGAATAACTGAAATATTCTTAAAAAATGCAAATTTGACTGCTTTGTCTGGTAAGAAATATTAATTTAAAATGTTATTCTATAAAGGTGTCTCAAAATCCTCTACTTCTGTGGAATTTTGAGGCAAAATATGGTTTTGCCTGCCAAATAAATCTAGTAAGAAGTATTTTTAACTTCTACAAACAAACTATAAATACAATCATAGCATTAAATTTGTATTATGTTGCCCATGTCTTATCTTTGATAATAAATCGCATTCTCAGAGGCCTTGGCTTACACATCTTGGAATTTTCCATCTTATCCGACACAATGCCATATGAGTAGATAATCAATAAATGTGTTGATTGAATATTTCAATATGTCCCACTGTAATGAATCATCAGAAGGGAGAAGGAAGAGCAGATAATTGAATGTCACTTGCTGTGAGAATTAGATCAAACATTTTTATAAAGAATAAAGAATAAAGTAAGATTATATAATTCTCTTCTAATGCCTTCCATAAAAAACGATGGTTTTGAAGAAGTACTTTCAAAGGATACTGACACATTGGGACACTGGGTAATTTGTTTTAAACAGTCCAAAGGAAAAATGCTATTTGATTTGATCCAGATATCCAACATATTTTATGAATAAGCATCATAAAATTTTAATTATATTAAAGCATTTAGAATGTTCAACATACTTTTGGGTCTATTTTTAAGTGGCTATCCATAAGGCATTTATCATTAATATGACAACAAGCTGGGCATGGTGATGTATATCTATGGTCTCAGGAAGATTGCTTGAGTTTGGGACTAACTTTGCACCAACCATGTGAAAAACTAAACGTGCACTGAAGCATGAGGACGCATGCCCACAACCCCAGCTACTCAGAGGGTGGAGGATGGAGAATGGCAAGTGCAGGCCAGCCTGACCAACTTAGCAAAGATCTGTCTCAAAATAAAAGAGAAAATAATTTAGAGGGCTGGGTGTATAGCTCAACAATGTCTGGGTTCATTTCCCAACACCACCAAAAGCAAAACACATCAAAAAAAGAGAAAAATGGCAATCATAGACTTAATGTTTAGTAAGTTGATGTAATGATTATTTTCTACTTCCTGATAAGATAAAGACATGTATTAAGAAAAAAAAAAAACCCTCAAATTATAAAGTTCTCCTTACATGCAGGCTTACTGATCCCAGAATGCTGAAGTGTTAGAATTCCTGTGTTACAAACAAGTATTTAGATTTCTTCTCCCATATCAGAAGCTAACAGAAAAGCAAAGCTTTGTAGCATAGAAATATAGTTTTGATGCCTGGATTAAATCCAAGGAAATAGATGCTCTTTCTTCTGAAATTGCTTTTATATGTGCTATGCTATGTTTATATGTATATATGTAGTCTTCCAAACATGAGAGAAGAAATGAGGGAGAGGAAAGGAAGGAAAAGGAAAGGAGAAGAGAGAAGAGGAGAGGAAAGGAGAGGGCAAGAGAGGACAGGAGAGGAAAAGAGAGGAGAGGAGAGGAGAGGAGAGGAGAGGAGAGGTGAGGAAAGGGCCTACAAGCAAATCCCAAGAAATCTATGATCAGAATATCCTTTGCCCTTGCCCTGCCAGAGTTAGAATTGTGCAGAATGTTTTCTAAACAATATTTAGCTTCTAGCAATGAGTTGCTATTAATGCATTTGGTACCACAACTTCTACTTCTTGTTCAGAGAGCTTGCAGCCCTGAGCCCTAATAGAGATTTTCTAAATGTCTTCTATATAAATGTCCCTGTCCACATGAGAGAAATGAGCTTTCCCTGAGTAAATGTTTTTGTGGCTTACACCCAAGTTCCAAGGGCTCTAGATTCCTCACTGGGGTTGTCAAGAGTGTAGGGCATTCCAAAGATCATATGGACTCTTTATCCCTGAGTCAGAAATATATTCACAGTTGAAGCATAGTATAATTTAAACTGCGAAAGCTCTCTTCCTTAGGAAATTGAGACAATCTGTCTTACCAAACTGGCCGAACTCCAACTGGATAATTGTGTTCTGCCTTCTTAACATGGTTCTCTTTTCAGTTTGATTAGTGATTCCTTATTGTCTCACTCAAACACCCAGGTATTTATTTTACACAACTACAATATCTGCTGCCTCTTAGTCCTGAGGGAGAAGCAGTACTGTGGCAAATCAATTATTGTGGTCAGTGTAGCTTATAATTTCTGACATATCTGGACGCTTTATGGGGTATTATTTAATTGCTTTTCCTATGTACAGAGACAATAGGCCATGAATATATATTAAGAATGCAGATGGTTTGGAAATTTTAAATAACTCCAGAACTTTCCAGGGTATTCATGTGTTCTATATGCAAACTGGCTTGTGTTGTGGTCAAACCTGCATGAGAACTGAGTCCTCCTCAGTGTCCTGTTCCTAGTTGCACTTTTGATACCTGGCACAGGCTGGCACATGGTTGGCATACAGTAAATGTCACAAAGGAAAAAATGGGTAAAGAGAAGAAGAAATAAATTTCACTGATCCTATTTTATCTATTATGAGTTATATTTCTTGAAATATTTTCCTCCTTAAACCATCAGCGTAGTGCCACCAAATCCAGTATATACCATTCTTAAACACCATTTAGTTCAAGGATTCAGAAATATTTGACAAAGTATCTAAGCAAAACCTCTCAAAGTTTTGTGAGCATTCTCCAGTTCTTAAGCTGCCCTGCTGGGATGGTGGTAGCTCTATCAAGTCAGTGATAACCCCCACCCCCACCAATTCTCATTAATTTATGAACCACTCATTCAAGGACTAGTATAGGTAGAAAGTTTGCCTCTGTTTCCTCTCAATTCTATACCATTTGTATCTTCATCCTTTATATAGACATCAGATTTTCTGCCTTACATGGTTAGTAGGCTTTTTACATTGCTGGTTCTATTTTGCATCTCCAAATAAAATGTAAACCTTGATATTAAAGTATCCATGATACTTGTTAATACTTGTGGATACCCAGGAAAAAATTTCTTGGGTTTGTTTAGTTATTACTTGGAGCTTTAATGGGAATCCCATGTATATATGCTGGGTTTTGTACCATGTCAGTTCCTTTCATTAAACAACTGCTAGTAAGATGCAGGCAATATAAGAAGCAGAGTGTATTAGGAATGGAAAGAAGTGATGATTGGACCAGGGTATAACTCATTACTCATAACTGTTTCTCAAGTGTAAGGTCCTGAGTTCAATTCATGGTGCAAAAACAAAATAATAATGATGATGATGGTATCATGTCTGACCTAGAGGGGCACGAAGAATTTAAAAGCTACCTTTAATAACAGGGAGGCTGGGAGAAATGTTTCAGTAGAACCGTGGTCTCACCAAGGGCAGTCCTCCTACCCTGGACGATGGCAGTAGCTGAAATGTTTTTCATTGTCACAACTGGGGGATGCTACTGGACTCAGCAAGAAGAGGCCGGGGATGCTTCTAAACTTTTTTGACAGTGCACAGAACACGTCCTGGCAATAAAGAGTGATACAACCAACAGTGTCGGTGGTGAAGGGGCTGAGAAACATAATAGGAGCAAAAGCATTAAGGAGATGGAAAAGGAAAAGAAAAAGGCAAGTGGGAGCATTTGAATAAAAGGAGAGGAATATCTTTTTGCATATATTTACCTTGCATATGTGTTACTTTTTTCACTTAATACACTTATTTAAAAGTTACAAAAATGTTTTTTTTTTTTTAAATTTGACTAACAGTAGATTTGACTAGTGAATTTTAGAGCACCCAAAGACCATCACTACTGTGACATTGTAATATTCTTAGATGACATAATGAAAATTGTATCTTTCTTCAGAAATCACAAATGTGATTTAGTAATGTGGAAACAACCTGCTTTAACCTTGGCTCTAGCAAGGCCGAGGTCTTTGCTAAGACCTCAAGTGCATTCTTTCATTTTTTATCTTACTACATCAACTCTTACGGGAGATTCCTGTTACTGTTATACTGGACTGTCTCAGTAGTCTTCCCGATGGCTTCTAAACTTACTCCAACCTAATCTGTTTTCTCTACCACTGCACCTCAAAAATGTGCTCTCAGATCATCCCACCTCTTTTTTTTTTTTTTTTGGAACCGGGGACTGAACTCAGGCCCTTGCACTTGCCAGGGAAGCGCTTATTCTACTGAGCCATTTCCCCGGCCCCTTCATTCCACCTCTTGATCAAAGCACGCCTTGGTCCGCTGTGCCTCACTTGTGGCCTGACCAGCTGCTGGGACCTCAGCTTCCTCCAGCCTTCATTCTGTCTGCTTCTGCACAGACAGCGAGCATGTGTCACCACCACAATGAACACTTGCTCTGTGCCTCAAGTCTCCCCTGTTTCCCATCATTATAAAATCTCTCGGCTTGAAATACTTAAAATGAGCCTCCACTTAGACCCCTCCAACAACTTCATCATGCCAGCATGGGGATACCAACCAGAAACAATCACTTGGTAAAATTCTTCATATTCTGTGCCTTTGTTTGTGGCACATGTCTTATCTCATGTTGTTTCATGTATCTAGTCTCATGTGATAGAATTTAAACCTGCCAAACACCAGTTGTTAGAAATGTTTCCTCACTGCCCAGCACCGTGTATCCTTCTTAATACTCACTGAATGGAGCAATGACTAGGATGAGATGTTCTGTGTGTATTAGGTTTGTTTCTTCACTTCAATTTGATTCTCCATTGCTTTTAATGCTAAATTCCATTTACATAAGACACAATAAAGACTCATATAATAAACACAGACTATAGAGGAAGTCTATAGCTGGAAGTCATTTTCTTCTCAGACTTTACTTAAAATGCTCATGTAGTTGCAGTGAGAATCCTGTTATAAAGCAGCAAGTATTTTTGTAATGGAAATGAATGACTGTCGGCATTTGGATTAATAGGTAATCCTCTTGGAAGGTGTAAGGGGAAAGAGAAAGAGGGTGTTAAATCCTTCAGCATAAAGTATGAGCTTTAATAAAAGAGCCAATAAAATAAAGGAATTAAGAAGACACAGTGAAAGCCATAGTCAGGTCAGACTCAAGTGCTGTAGATTTATGCTGGACCCGCTC